TGTCTTTGCACTACACTATTGAGCTTGTAAGTTGTAATCGATATGAAAATATGAATGATGCTTTTGTATGAATTCTAGAAAATTATATAAATTATACATTTTAAAAATGTAGAGCGTTTTTGTTTTCACTTTTCTCTATGGTCGCTTAATGGGTTTCTCTCGCCTTCTAAGCAGGAAATGGAAAACCTGGAGTGGATCTGGAGCAGAGTGATAGCCTATTCCAGACCTGGAGTTGTTTAGTTTTTGCGTTGCTTGTAGTAGATGCATCATGGTGTGGCTTGCTCTTTTTAATTATGTTCTTTGGCGGATCAGAACTGGCTTCTTTTTTTTTTTTTTCCATTCTGCAAGGCAAGTTATTAAATGGATAGGCATATAAAACTCACTGTTGGACTTTATGTCAGAAGTGATCCGATTCGGCCCTAGGCAAATGTTAAAGACACCTTATAAAGTGCAAACGCATTTTCTTTTCTTCCCATGCTTATTTCGCTCTTGCTTAGTAATTATTAATTTGAGCCTCATCTTACAAACAGATGGCACAGCTTGAAGAGAGAAATTAAACGGCCAGCTAGTATCTTCAAGATGCTCTTGTAATCCAAATCCCAAGATACAGCAGATGCACTTATCATGCGATGGCAAGCGTGAAATACGCGGCCCGTGTTGGGATTTGCTCTGACAGTCTTGTATTTGAGACTGATATGGGACAGTAACCCCTGCGCAGAGGAGCCCAGAGCGGGACCTCCGAACAGCACATTCGGCTATATATGATTAAGGTATCTAAGCTTTTATAGCCTATGACTGACGCAATGGCTATAGCTATAGGCTGCTCGAGGTCTCAAAGGATATCGGTAAATGAAAGAACAAAGCATAGTGCACACTCTGAACAATAATGCGCGCGACCGTAAACGAAGAATGAATACACACAGAAAAGCATCTAAAAATGAATTATCAAGCACATATCGTGTGCTGCTGTACGTGCGGTTATTGAGCGAACCCACTTGATTAGAGCAAACGGAGTCAGCAGAGGCAGGTGACGCAAACTAGGCACTGACCAAAATAATGAACGATAATTAGCTTGTAAACGATGTAAGAGCAGAAAACGGGAACGAGAACTTTAAAAGAACCTTTTTAATTTCACTTTCGTATGCAAATGGAAGGTAACATGATTTCTACCACATTTAATGCAGTCGATGTTTGTACTGGGTGATGCGTGCAGATGTGTTTACATATCTCGCGATGGCAACATTAGATGAATAGTTCTCTTTAGTAAAACATCTGGCAAGTAAACTTTCAAAGTGTTCATAGACTGATTCAATAATTCTTACCTGTGTGCGAATAAGACACGAGCAGTAGGAGAGACAGGGGAGCGCAATACTTCCAAAAAGAAGAAAATGCCATCATGTGTGTTATTCCGATCTCTCTGTTAGGTCCCCTTCCTTAGATAGGAATTAGAATAACATGAGCACGCAGGCTCTCACCTACGAGTTATGTCTTTTCTCAACTCCAGTGTTTGCTGGAATCGTTGTGAGTTACATACTATACAAATGCACACTCAATCTGATACAACTCTGAATGAAAGGTGGAAATGTAGCAGGGCCGGTTTTTCTTGGGCTCAGCTACAACCAATCGGATTTGACAATGATCAGCGCACACCCAATGGGCGGGGTAAGTATAATATTAAAAGACAAATGACCGTTTGTTTTGATCAAAAGTACAATGCGCTTTATGGCACTGCGGTTATTGGAATGAGTATAGCCTTCAAATTAACCGCTCTATAACGTGATGAATTACAGTGGCGATCAATAAAGTTTTGAACGCGAATTTACTGGAACAGTGGGCTTTTTAATGAATCTCTGGCGTGTAATATGGGTTGAGATAAATGACATATTCACTGACTGGACCAATTCAGAACAAGGAATTATAATGATTCATTCAACTATGTGACTCATTCAACTATGTGATATACAACGAAAACAATCAACATGATCATTAGAAACCAAACTGGCATGAAACCAGCCCGAGTAAGACTTCAATATCTTCATCATCCTCGAATCACTTCACTGGCGTAGCCGAATTAAAAGCGCAATGAATTTATGGGCAATTTTATAGCTTGTATTTAGCGACCTCGTGTGATGATTTTGAGGAATAGCGATGTGGTTTTGAAAATATATATATAAATATATATTATTACTATAAAATCTTGATTGTAAAGAATGTAGGCCTAAATAATAGTTATAAAGCTTAAAACAATAAAAAACGATAACAAAAATATATCAAACCATTGTTCTGGCCAACGAATATTGTAAACATGCCCCAACCACACAAGGAAATCTCTCACGTTAAATTATGCAATAACAGAATAACACAAACAGAAAATAAGAACCAAACTGGCTGCTCCAAATTTGCTGTTGCCCAATATAGATATTGCTCTTTTTGTTCAATTATAGACATTCATAAGAAACACTTCTAGAAGATTATGGTCACAGACAAGCAGGAAATCAACAGCCAGAAAGTCATGTTCACTCATGCAGGATCCAAAACATTTGTTTGCTCTCATTCTTTCCAAGTAGCTGTGCCGCATGCCAGAGTAGTTTATAATTGGCCAGCAAACATCAAACCTTTTGGAAGTGTTTGGTCAGAACATAATTTGAAAGCTGAAACATGTATACAAAAGGAAACTGAAAGCCATTTAAATGAGAAAATAACCATGACTGTTGACAAGCACCTTAGTACGTGAGAACCTTGAGACGTGAAATATAATTTTCACACATCAATGTTTTTTTTATTACAAATTGCAGCTCATGGCATTTTGAACCAACATATTTATGCAGCAAATTAACCGTTTTTGATGTTTGCTCACATTTTTAAGTAAACAATGCTGGAGGGAAAGGGTGTTTGTGTGAATAGGGCTCATCCTACAGCACTGAAAAACTGCAAGGCATTTAGAGCTTTTATTATTCTCTCTCTTATGAAAGTCTATTACCTAGATCATATAAATGTGAAATGCGTGACCCTTTTGGAGATTTTCCTGCTGCAGGCCATTTACTTTAAGAAGCCCCAGGAGAAAGCAAAATTAAAAATATGGGATTTTCTTTTAGGCCTAGCCATTTCAAGTTTTGCTACTCCAATGCACTTCCCATGCTAATATATTCTCTTGTTCAAGGACTTTATGAAGAACCGCGGGAGAGAAAGAGAGATCTTGAATAATTTGTGTAATAATATTGTTCTTGTTGCATTCCATGCCATGCAATATACCTTCGTTAATGAACTGTCATTGTTTTAGCACACAAACACACAGTTATTGATGGTGGCTTCTAGTCTACCACACACTGGTAATAAAACTACACAAAAAGAAACACAAATATTGCAGACATAAGAAATGAAATGAGAAGCTATGCTAATGTTCACAGTGATGATCTGCTAAAGTTAAAGCATTGGAGGGTAAAATTAATAAACACAGTTGTGGTTATGTGGTGGGTATAGTCCAGGCAATTCCAGTTCATGCAATTTTTTGTGGTAAAGTTGGGCTTGTGGCAGCATGTAAAGACAAGATATGTCACATTCTGAATACCTCAGGCCTTTTTTATATAGATTTTTCCTCCTTCCCTTTGGCATTTAAATAGTTTTCTCATTTCTAGTTCTTACCTAAATACACTTAGTTAACACCCATTAAGAGGCTGGTGAAAAATTGTGGTTCAGAATAAAATAATAAAATAATAATTACATACACTGTGTGTGTTTTGCAATGACGGTATTGGCCGATTCTGTTTATTTGTAAGACCATAGAATTTATTAACCGAGAGGTTTTTTCAATCATTGAATAATTTATTAACACTACTTGATTCATTCAGGATCAAAATAGTTGTATCTGACGTATAGCCCCTACCCTCAGTCACTGTTGCCTACATCACTATACGCTAATGTAGTCCACTGAATGAGGGAATCAATGTAAAGAGTGAATTCAGACACTATGTGCATTGGAAGTGCTGCCATACGCCATTTTACTGGCAAGACACGGGAAATTCAATGTGGGGCTTTATAGTGCATCGTTATTTAGCAGCTAGCCATTGAGTGTAGGCTACATCAGTTGTAGGCTACTCATTATTGAGGTGCATTATAGAATTTAATAAGTGCACTTGATAATGTCCACCACTATTGCAATATATTCGGGAATAGGGGGCGATTTTGGAGTTTTTATGAGTGAGTCATTATTCATTCATCCAAACCGCACAAAACAGTGGTTCATTAAAGAATAATACATAATAAGTGCGAGAGATGGCAACAATTGACTTCTTTGATTTCACTTTTGAATTGGTTTGGTTGGAAAATAGACAAAGTAACTGGCAATATTTTGTCTAAAATGTAAGTTATTTGATATTAACTTGTTTTTGAGCTGTTGTATATGAGCAATATGCAAACTGGCGTCGAATCACATGAAAAAAGTCTTGCTTCTGTGATTTTCTTTAAAGGGTTAGAATAAAAATTCTGTCATTAATTACTCACTTTCATGTTGTTTTAAACCTGTAATACTTTCATTCATCTTCAGAACACAAACTTTAGGTTTTTATTCACACATAAACATTCATGAACTCACACATCAGATGTGGTAATCGGAAGCTCAAGATGTTCGCTTGACTTGCAAAAACCAATGAGGGTTAGTCTTGCTACCCAGAAAAGCTCTCAGATTTCATCAAAATGATCTTCATTTGTGTTCCGAAGACGAACAAAAGTCTTACGGGTTCGGAAAGACATGAGGGTGAGTAATGAAAAAAAATTTGATTTTTTTTTTTTGGTGGACTATCCCTTGAAATCTATTTTGCAATGGTCAACAAATCAACCAGCTAAGTGTGTATCAGAACTCTTGTTTGAGAACTTACAGGTATTTATTAATAAACAGTGGCAATTCCATTTACATAGAGATGAACTCTCTTGAGATTTCTTGGCAAAATTGAGCATACATGAATGTCTATCTTAATTAGATCAGTAACAACACTGGAGGGTGATTATGTTGTAAAGTCATTTTAATAGCTTTAAATTCAAAGATATGGAAAAATCAAACTTGTGTAAAAAAAAGTGCAAGTTTCAACGTGCTTCTAGTAATTGGTTCAGTGTTAATCTGGATCTTATCTACTGTCTTTTCAAGTAAAGCGGAATATTATATACTTATGTAAAGCAGTAACTTTAACATTTCTACATCTGACTAAATGATTGTACAGCTTGCAAACAGTGGTTTTCCTAAAAAGAAATGTTAATCAGTTTAAAGAAATAAGCCAGCATACGACTGGTGTGAAGAAAGTCACCCGACAAAAGCATCTTTTCAGCATTTCTCAATTTTGCAGGGTCGGTGAATCAATACAGAGATAATTGCACACCTTTTGTTGAAGAGCATTATTGCCATCCACACTGGAAAGGAAGCAAGCTAAAACCATAATTTGTCCCGTCTTTGTATACTTTTTCGATTTCCTTCATAGACAGTCTCTAAATTATATCTGAATAAAGACCCAAGAGCGAAACAAAATCTATGGCCAACGCTCTAATTAACTCCCTTCTACTCTGAATACCCAATGCTCGCTCATCTTTTTCTCTTGTCTTCTTTTCTCTGCTCTCCTCTCCAGTCCTCCATCAATCTCCCTCTTTACACCAGCGGCTGTTTGTCACCAGCGGTGGAGGGCAGGGACTCCACGCTGGATCTATAGATGGGTTTCTTCTGGGAACGGTCATCACTGAGAGGACGAGAGAAGGAAATATGATAGAGTAAGTGTTTTAGCAGGCAGAATAAGAGAAGATGTGGACCTGAAGGATGTGGTGGTAATTGAGACAGTTATTTGCACATAGACTAGCCTGCCTCGACAGCTTTGAGGGAGTGACAGAAGTGGACTACTGATGCTCATAGTAATATTCAGACTCCACTTGACATGATAGAGGAGGGCTTGAGGTCAAACACCCACATGAAACACTGCCCACATTTCCAGACAACATGACTAGGGTGATTTGGAGGACTTACATGGGTCCCTTGCGATTCCTCTGATTGGCTCGGCGACAGAGGTAAGCGGTCATGGATATCACAACCACCAGAAGGACCAATCCAGCACCAGATACCATGAGAACAATCTGACTGGAGGTTGACTCATACCATGCTGCATTCTCTAAGAGACAAATACAAAATTAAATATTATATGTCTGTCAAACTGTCTTTAAATGTTATGGAATAGAAAAAAGAAAAAGCTAAGCAAACATTTCAGCTTGATTATTAACATTGTCAACATTGGTATTAGTTGCTCGGCCTAATAGAGGGTAATTGTCAACATTAAATCAAATTCAACCCTATGTACTTCCTTAATTCAGTTCTTATTGTGAATGCTTCATTGGTGCGCGTTAGTGCAAATAAAATAACTGTTGACTTGTTAGTCTTCAAATCAAAATGTAATAATTTTGCTCTCATTTTCTGCTGACATCAATTTGATTCCACGTCTTTTTTGCACTTTAAATCTACTTGATAACAGTGGCTGATATAAATAATGGTTCCTCTGACCATTCATACGTTGTTCATTCTGATTCATTCTGAATTGTCTTACTTCTATTGTAAGACATTATTTAAGACACAAGTAGACAATCATCTGTAAAGCTACATTGAAACAATTGTAAAAAGTGCATTAATAACAATAACTTGACGTTTTTAAAAGCTTTAATATTTTACAGCTAATACCATGGCAGAAATTATCCATGTTGTGCAACACATACAGTAGATATTTTCTTGACTTAAAAAAAAACTGTCATCATTACGAAATTAAGAAATATGTCATATGGAAGTTGAATGAGGTCTCAAGGTCAATATTATTGTCTTACACAAGCGCATTTATACTCTAAAACTGAAAATTGGACAAATAGATCAAAAGGGATTTTAGTTGCTGAATTGCTGCTAGTGCCATTAGGTATAAAATTAAACGTTCAAATTATGAAGAAGTCAGGCCCTCGAAATCCACTTTCCTGCAGAGTTTACTTCCAACCCTAATCAAACACACTTAAACAGAAAAGTGGACCAGAGTTGAGAAGCCCTGGTGTACACTGTTGTTCACTACAAGTCACACGCTTTTGGCAGCTCTGACCTGGTAGAACAGTGATGCTGATTGTACGTTTCTTCACGAGGGACCGCACAGTGGGCGACTGAGCCGAACAGGTGTATCTCCCTTCATTCTGATCACTCACTTTCTCCAACTTCAACTTATTAGATGGCAAAATCCAGTCATCTCCCTTGATATGAAATAGACACACACAGAGGTTACAGAGAAGTGAAAAGCAAAGCAGGAACTACATGAAATATTTGACGTCAGACGATAAGGCAGAAGTAATACTTCTTAGGAATGGAAATCATGCAAGGGTGAATTCCCACTTTTTTTAACTTTTTGAATCGAAAATACAACAGAAATGAAAAAACTTTTTTTTCCCCCTAAGAATCCCTGAGTCATTTACATTAAATAATGTTAGTGAGTATGAAAGAGTAATGATGTGAAAATAAAACATAACACCTTACATTTTAAGGAAACAAATGCCTATGCAAAAACCACTCGGAGCAAATCATAACCCTACGAATGCTTTTTGGCACTAGAGGAACTTCTGCAGCCTGCCAACAAAGTCCATTTCAATTTAAATGAAAGTGAATTAAGAGGATTCCCAGTCAAGCCAAGTTCTGGCCAAAGCACCATTGTTTGAGCTAATCCATTGGCTCCGAACATCTTCCTGTTTCCTCCGCTGGAGTGCAGACACAGCACTATAAACAGGTATAGCTGCTATACACCAGAACATGTTCTGCAATCTAAGGAAGCTTGTTTTTCTATTTTACTCTGTTTATAAGAATGTGCTTTTACTCAGTCTTGCCTTGTGAAAACATCTCGCATAATAAATATTTGAGCGGGTGTTAAATGTCAGAGAATAATAGTGCACTTTTTTGATGTGGTGGAGGACAGACTGATTGACTCATTCTGGACTTCTATCTCATGAAACTCTATGGTCATCGATCACCCACACCACGACATTTAGATGGACTTTTTTTGTTGTTTTTGTCATGCACTGTTCAACAGTTAAACACAGATCCAAAATGAACTTTTTGTCTCAAATGCCTAAGGTGAGTGAATTAAGTTTTACTGGCCTTACCAGAACACATTTGATACTGTTCCTGAAATGGTTTTCAATGATTATATCAATAATATAAAATATTGTTTGGTTAATTTGTCGGTTCACATTGCGTAATACTTGGTTGTTCTGTTCCTGTTTTCTGCCCAGATGGTTTTTGTTTTCGTATCTTGAAGTTTAACAAATTTACTGCCTGGGACTAGATCCTGCCTCTCACCTATTTCCTGCAACCAACTATATAAATTAATTTTAAAATATTTTCTTTCTCTACATTTTCTTTCGTATAAGTGAAAAAGATATATCACATTATATATCAAATGATACATCCATCTCTTGTATAAAATTAATATATTTTGTTCCTAAAATATATTCATTTTAGTGGCTCAATTTGAGGAATATTTCCAGTTGGTAAAAGTCATCCTAGACATCCTAGATAAACAAATGTTAGCAGATTTTCTACTAAGGAAGAAGACATCTGAGTCGTGACATATGTTTTCTTTAGCAAACATCTGTCATGACTCGTGTGGCTCATTCCGTTGATTTGAATCGCTTGTGTCAGTTATATGAAATCTATCAGTAGGGGCTTGATTATCTTTCTCACAGTTCTAAAATTCAATAACCAGTCACTGGAAAGTAACTGAGCCCTGGTGAGTTTTATTTTCTCGCCAAAGCCAATCTTCGCTCACATTTGGCTGCAACGCCTGTAGCACAAAGCTCATAAATAAACTTTTACAATAATTCCGAATTGATCAGGGGAGTGTAGACTAGACATAACCTCTGGACGCTCCTTAGCGCAGATCTACCATACACTTTCCCTGGCTTAGCACATTAACTGAGTTGACAACTTTCACAGGCTTTCCCCCAGACCTGAGTGAACAAGCTTATTTTCACTTGAACAGGACTTTATTAGGCAAGCTGGCCTTCCAGGCCTTTCTCTCAGTTGTATAAGAACCCAACATGTCCATTACATGAAAACATGCAACTGCAGTCCCAAAGACTGAGCAATGCATCATGTTAAAAACTGCTGTGAGAAAAAAAAAATGCATTAGATAGTAAATCTGTCACCTCTTTAGCCCAGAAGTATTCAGGTGCCTCGGAAGCTGAAGTAGAACATTCCAGCTCCACATCATCGCCTAATTGTACTTTAAGGTCCTGCACCGAGTTGAAATAGCGTGTTAAGTATCCTAAACCAGCCCTGTGCACTGACACCTCCCGCATATCTGCGATAGAAAGAGAGAGAATATATGAGGATAAAAGGATTAGTCAAAACAGCTCTGCTCCTGGATACATTTGCATAACATAAAAACAAGGAAGTAGGTCATGGAAATTCAGAGCATGTCTTCATCACTTCATCACTTAAATATATGTATAGTATATTATATATTTTGTGCATACATAATATTTGTATACATTCATAAAATATGTATAAATAGTAAGATTTTGTATTACTTGATACTGTTATTATTACGAAAAGATGCTTTAAATTGAGCAAAAGTGCAGTAAAGAATTTTCGACTGTTACTTTTGCTTTTATTTACGTAAAGGAATCGTGAATATTTTCAGTTTTCACAAAAATATTCCTGAGCACCAAATCAGCATATTAGAATGATTTCTGAAGGATCATGTGACACTGAAGACTGGAGTAATGATGCTGAAAAATTCAGCTTTACCATCAAATACATTTATGTTAAATATCAATATTTCACAATATTATTATTTTTTTTTTTTACTGTGCTTTTGCTCAATAATAATTTTTACAAATCTTGCCAACACCAAACTTTGAATTGGCAGTTTAACTTGTTGGTGACTGACAGCAGTGGATTATTCTCAATGATTCCAGCATATTACATCCAGATTGAATGTAATTATACAATGGATCATCTTGTCTCCATCTGATTATTCATACTGAACATCTATGTATAGCTCCATCTGGGTATTTCTTTTACTCTGTTTTTCCAATAAATCACCACTGTCAACTCATCCCTGGGCACTGCAAAACCCCCAATCAATATCAGTATTGATTTTGTCATCTAGGGAGATAAAGAGTTTTATTTGTCATCGAATCTTTAAATCCCAAATATAAAAATTCCTTGTGACAAAATGTCAGATGCAACTGGCCTCACACACAACAATGGAAAGATTGAAGCATCTGGACAATCTAGATGTATATGGATCAAATCAATGGGGATTTGCATCACAAACAATCTTCATGCAGCCCATGGTGTCTCTAACTCACAGTGGATGGGGATGGTGAGGGGCTGGGAGGAGTTGTCTGGTGCAGAACTGTTCTCAGAGACACAGCGGTATGGGCCATCAGACCAGGACTGGATACTGGCGATGAAGAGGAGCAGTCTGTCCTCCTCCCTTCTCACATCCACATCATACAGAAAACACCGGCGGTAGAAATACTCCTGATCTGTCTCTAGCCGATACCACCTCTTCATGTACTGTTGAGAAGGAAAAGAAAGTAATATTTAACTCCAACAGACTACTTACATAGTATGCAAAGAAATATCAGTTGTATCAGTCTCTGTATCTCCCAAGTCCCAACTATATATCTTAGTAAGATGATATTTAACCATTAAACGCACAGTGTCATTTGAACGTCATTCACTAACCTCAACGTCAACCTTCTTAGTATTCCTCGGTCAATTAATTATAAACAATTTAACAAGAAAGCCTGTTTTCCCATTTATTTTTTTTGTAAAAAATTGTGTAGAGGTGTGTAACACAGTATAAGTGCATTTGTTTCTGCACAACAATTGAATCTTGATGACTGAATAAGTGCAAGCCACCTTTATTCCACAAAGGGGGTCATGTCTTATATATACAAAATAATGAAGTGACATTTCACTCATAGTTGCTGCAGGCGGAAAACAAAAGAATAGCAAGTTTCATCAGCAAAAGATGAACTGCAGAGCAAGTACTGAACACAATCAAATATTAGTCACTGTCACTTGTCAGTGGATCTGGTGAAGACGCTGTCAGAGATCAAAATATGGATTTTGAAGATGTTGAAAACGATGAGAATATGTTTGAGATAGCGAATATGAGCTAGATGCTGATGATGGTCTGCTCAAAAACATCTGCTCAAACTCTTCCAAGCTAAATAAATATACTTTATTTTATTCTTTTGTAATTGTTCCTCTAATATCAGGTTTTATATTATCACGGCAGGTAGAGATCCATCTGTGTCAGACATAGATCCGGGTCTATAAAAAACCGTAATATGTAATGATTGGTGAAACATTCATGCATTTAAGGATTAAGTGCTTAGTTTTATGATCAAAGCTCTGTAGTTTTTATTGTGGGGGACGAAATACAATGCAAAGCGATACAATGATGTTTGAGAGTTGTACATTTAAATGTTACTCAAAAGCCTGTTGTATATATTTGATAGAAATTATTATGATTTATGGATAGTCAAGTAAAGTCAAGGAACAATTTCAGGCCTAACTATTAAACTATTAATCAGAAAACCGAAAGAATGTAGTATATTGTGTACAACAGATTTTTCATCTAGGTTTTGATCATTTAGAGGCCTCCGAAAATTGCGAATCAAATATGATCCAGTCGGCTTTGTAGGGTTAAGAAAATCTTGCTGATGTAGGGAACACTTTCTGAATTTGATTAAATATGCTACACTTGGAGGAATTCGACTGTTTGGGGCAACGACACTTGGGTCTCACTAACGCAGGTTAATGAGTGTTTGCAAAACAAAGCATCTGTCTTTGTGATTGGTGGTATGGAGATCCTTTTTTGCTCGAATGCATTTAGATAGCTGGAAAATGTGACAAACAGACTCTGCACTGACAGAAGCAGCAGATGTTGTGAATCCTCCAAAGGCCCCTCACTGCCAGATACTAATTAAACCCAGAATAACAGCTCTCCGAAACTCACTAAAACACTCCTGCGCTTTAAATACCAATTGCAGCCTTGATCTCCAGACAAATAAATTCAAAATAATATTGTTCTTTATTAGTGATTGCCCTGTGAGATTGTGAGCATTTGTGTTGATATTTGAGAGTTAGAGTCCCTGACAGATCTGTTTGTAATTTTAGATCTCTCACTTTCTGTTTCTTCAGTAATCAGACCGGCACCACAGACAGCAGAGGACGTGTACAGACAGCGGCAATAACATAAATCCTTCTCATTTCCCGTGAGAAACGAGATGTCATTTCAGTTTCAATCTGCTGTTTTCTTGACATTTACAGGCAAGTGCACGTCAAAGAGCATTGTGTACCAGACATTTCCTTGCTATTGTGTAAGTGACCTTACCTTGGAGAACCTCTGAAAGTGCACAGTGCTCATGTTCAGCTCAGATTCTGTATCCACACACTCCAATGTCACATCCTGTCCTTCCAGAACGGGCTCAGATGGACCTTTCACCTCCAAAACAGCTGTAAAACAAAAAGTAATAAAACAAAGCAATGTTGAGTTAGCTAGTTTTATAGAATAAAGCAACAATTGCATCCATATAGGATACTAAACAATATAATTTGGTCACTTTCTTTTTGGTCGCTTTCTTGTTGCTTTTTGTCACTCTGAATGAAAGAGCCAAAGCTCAGTTTACACTGACTGATTGAAATTTCTAGCCACTGGGGGACCCTATAAATGCGGGGGAACTCATATTAATGTTAGAAAACCAGAAAGTGAAAATTTCATCATGTCAGGGGACCTTTAAAAGATCAGGTTTTGCAAAGAAGAGTGGGAAAATATTACCAAGTCAAGACTGCTGATATATACAGACTGAGACAGACAGACAGACAGAGTGGCTGTAATATGGTGTGTTTGTTAAAGGTGTACACACTCCCTAATGAAGTTTTTTTTTTCTCTCTCTCTGAAATGTGTTACTTTGGTTTGCAGCATTGCATGGATTTTTATTTTTACATGAACGGTCGAAACGTTCTGATATGACTTATCTTTTTTACGTCACAACAAAAAACATCTGTTTCAACAGGGCAGTTGACTTTTTATTTCCTATATTCTTTCTAAACTTCCTGGTATGTGTAATTTGCATACCAGCCACGACAACAACTGGAACATTCTATCTGATCATGTGCATTGTTGTTAAATAGAAGCCAATGCGAACGTGCATTCAAACAAATAGCCTACATTTTCCTTCAACTGTCGTCTAACTGGTTGGGTCATGATGGTGAGCAAGTGAGGTGGCAAATTCCTCGTCTTACTTGCAGTAAGCGACATGACAGAGGCTTTCTGAAATAATTCCTGTGTTAAATTGTATTCTGGGCTGTTACATGCAGTTGTTAAATAGAAGCAAATGTGAAAGTGCTTTCAAACAAATAGCCTACATTTTCCTTCAAATGTCGTCTAACTGGTTGGGTCAAGATGGTAAGCAAGTGAGGTGGCAAATTCCTCGTCTTACTTGCAGTAAGTGACTTGGCATGGCTTTCTGAAATAATTCCTGTGTTACATTGTATTCTGGGCTGTTACATATGCAGTCTTTATGCAGCGTATATCTCTATAAGCTCTATGGCGTTGTATTAGGCTACAACCCTATTAAAAACAGGAACACTTTCGTTTTCAATTGACTGCAAAAAGTCCCCGTATTTCACCGGGAAAGTTGTCTTGTTTTTTCATTATTATTATTTTTTGCTGGCTTATTGCACAAAAGAGAATCTACCTAAACGTTCAGAATTGCAAAGTAGCCCAAAAAAAAAAAAAAAAATGAAAAAACAAGACAACTAAAATAATAACTATAAAATAACTTTATTTGTTAATTTAAATTTAAGTAGTTCCTCAGTCTCAATGGATTATTATTAATTTACTTAGATACATATTGCCTTTGGTATAGAACGTTGATTTAGGTTAAAACAGTAAAATGCATTAAACAAATAATGGTTTGGAAAAGACATGAGCAAAATGTTATTTACCGGTGTATCCTTGAAGAAAGGTGAACGCCAGAACAGTGAGGAGAATATAGCCTGTCATCTTGAAGAATCTTGACTTCTGCGTTTGAGAACAACGTGAACTTCTGCCAAAACGAAAGTTTGTGAACACAATTTATGAGCGCGGAAGAAGAAGTGGGTGGAGCTTACTGTTTATTTTGTTTTTGTTACAAAGATTCAACTATGCAATAATATAATGTTAGCATTAATTTCTTCTAGGCTATGTATTAAAAATTACAAAAATACAAGGTTAAACTTGTTCAATGGTCTCAAAACACAAACTCTTCATGCAAATCAACTCATGCTGAAGCATCACTTGTATCTAGCATAATCTATGTTCAGAGGATGTTAGAAGGCAGTGTCATCTGGCGGTTCAAGGTTTTTTTTTTTTTAGGTTTGTGTGATAGACGTTTGATAGGCTATGTGAATTTGTAATAAAGATATATAAAAAATGACATTAGGCCTTGGCTACCTTCACGACGCGATTAAGTTACGGTAGTTGCTTAGTAACTATTTGTTATGATGACATCCTTCAATTCTTTTTTTTCTTCTTTTTTTTTTTTTTTTTGGTAACTCTCAAAGGTTAGAATCATATTATTACCGCCCCCCTGGACGCTTGTTTTATTTCGAAACAAATTTGTAACGTTAGTGATATTTTAGCTGCTGAGACTGCTGAGCCAAAGTTTCATGGGTTATTTATACTTTCCTTTCATTAAGCTGAAGTCGATGTGAACGTTTGAGAATTTGAACCATATAAGTACAACCCAGTGCAAAGAATAGCTAACAGGGGGGGAAAATAAGTAAAAAGCGGAAGGTGCGCTGCACGTGCGGACATGTTTGTTGTTTTGAGTCGTGACTCGTGACTCAAGGTGAAATATATGGGGAGAGTATAATATTAGGCATACCTTCTCTTAACTACAAGTAGCCTAACACTGAAGTGAAGAGAAATGATAATAAACATGTAGGTTAGAATGTACTTAAATAGTTTACTATTAAATAATAAATATAGGAAATTTGAAGAGGGCAGAACAGTAGGGCACAATGTAAATTCCCTTGTCTAAATTTCATTTAGGCTACCTTACAGTAAGTGATCAGGTGACTGTAGGTGACTCAGCAATGCTGACTTCAGATTTCTTCAGTAAGTGCAAGTGCAATTTTAGTTTTGAAATGTGTCATTAGTAGCTTATTTGTTTGTTTGTTGTAGACAACGATTCAAGTCTCATATTGGCAATATGTAATGCATCACACCAAGACATAGTTCAAGGGTGGAAAGGCACCACAGATGTTAAAAGTTAATCATCAAAACAGAATACATCAGTAATCTATACTGATATCACTAGGATCACAAATGTAAAGTTCAAATAAGGTCAATCAACATTTATTTTTGTTGGTATGTGTACACAATTAACATGTAGAGATGAGCTGAACTGACAGATGTACAAAAAGTATCATCAAGTTGAGAGGTTACAATCACTAATATTAATGATCGGTCAAACACAATACCACATAAGGAGGGTTTATATATCAATGGTGTAGTAATGCTGAAGATACAAAATGGACAACAATAATGGACAATACTTTTCCCATTACAGTTTTGCCAAACTTTAATTCTGAGTAATAATTCAGAGATATCTAAAGATATCTTTAACACACCTTTGACCAACTGTGAAAATGGCAGCCCCTTGACTCTTGCGTACTGTCAGGCCCTGCATACACCATAAGCAACAACAGGTAAATCATATGTCCTAAATTATGTCATAATATTCATCCCCACACAACAAGCTGAAAGGCATTCAAAAATGGCAAGAGCTTCATTTCATTTAAATACACATTTATAGAACAGTTGTAGCAATTGATGGCCATATTTGATTTTTGACTGCTATGGCCAGAATCTAAATATTTGTCTTGGTTTGCATGTGCTTTGCCAGATTCCCATTAAGAAAGGCACTATTACTTCAGCCAATGCACAACAGAGAACTTACTCCGTCTATTTTAGGCCTACTTTTTTCCTTATGTTAAAACCTAAGAAATTATCCAACCAGAAAACGTTCTTAATTATCCAGCTCAACATCAAGATAGCATTAGAAGTTCATTTGGACACTAAAAATAAATATTAAAAGCAACAACAACAAAAAAACAAGCAAAACTACTAAATTCTTGCACATACATAGGCCTACATAAAAAAAGTCCTTAAGTGTAAAATAAAACACCTTTCCACCATCATTGTAAGCGGTCCCAGAGTAGCATTTCAGACAGTTCGATACAGTGCAATTATAATCCGTTCCTACACTTGGATTTCTCACTACATTTAGCTAAACGTACTTAAGACAGGAGAATCATGCTGATGGTCGCTTGTCAGTTGTAAACCTAGCATCCTTCCCTTTGCTTTCTGGTAACCATTCAGCCAGATGGTGGAAAAACTAGAAGGGGCCAGCGGTTGAATGAACCGCTAAGACTAGTCTAACAAGTTAGTCCTCCTAATGTTTTTTAAAATGATTAAAAAGTAAAAAATGACTTAATGATTTTTTTAAAAATTTAAGGTAGATTGGCCTAATTTGATAACAAAAAGTAAGACTAACTGCTAGTGGGTTATTCTAAACCTTGAGAGACTGTCTCAACAGCTGGCCCCAGGTTTTGTAATATATATACGTAAATACCCTAATACTTAAAACGTAAATAGTTTTATACTAATAGGCAAAGCTTTAATGTTTAAGGTGCAGTTACAGGTTGTCTCAATTTAGCTTTTTAGAGGCACAAATAACAAGAAAAAGAAATGTACATTACCAAAACAAGATTTTGCTTGTTATGTCTGACACCACGCATCACCATATCTGGATCCAAATGCTCATCAAATGCCAGAAACAGACAGCAAACAATGCTAGCCCACACTGCGTGGTAATAATACTAAACAATCACAATCCTAACCTTTATCTCTGTACCGAAATCTCAGATTTTATAAATCGTTAAAACACTGTGAGCCCAGAGATAGTAGTGTACGCCACATTAACTTTGCTTAATTTGAATAAATATTGCCCATGAACGCCTGTTGAGATAGTACTCAATTGAAATGTATAGAAACAGTATTTCTTGTGTCACGAGTCATGACTTAACAAGATAGTTAGTGTGAGGGGACTGACATCATGTTTCAGGCTCAATACATTACACATTAAAGTTGCCCTTTTTTCTTCCCTCTCTTTTTAAAATACAGTCAGAAACTGTTGCCTAATCTTTAGTTTTAGCTGAGCTGCTCTCTTCCTTCTCTCTTTCTTCCGAAGAATAGTGTTGCAACGTCTGGTGTCTATTTCTAGTCGGAGCATCTGGAAAGCGTTGTCCGCAGTCCTCGCAGGCATACGGAAGAGCGGCTTTGTCCCCATCCCCACTTAACTGCTCTTTACTAGCTGGACTCTTCCCTTCCATTTGCCGGAGATGAATCTGGTCGAGACTGGAGGCTTGGATTCTCTGGAATTCTGAAACTGTGGCTGACGCAGAGGCAGCCAGACTAGGCCTGCCCACAGAGTTGGGCTCCGTCACGATCCCGTGAACCGTGCGGTGATGAAAGCGGATGCCGGAGCGGTTCGAAAAGCTCTTCCCACAGAGGCCGCACACGAAAGGCCTCTCGCCGGTGTGGATGCGAGTGTGGATTTTCAAAGCCCCAGACTGAGTAAAGCACTTTCCACACTGACTGCAGCTGTACGGTTTCTCCCCGGTGTGAATTCGCTGATGCGCTCTTACCCCAGCCAGGTGAGGGAAACCCCTCCCGCAATAAGAACAGGTGTACGGCCTCTCTCCGGTGTGAATGCGGCGGTGAATCTTAAGTGCCCCGGACTGGCTGAAACTCTTGCCGCAGTCGGTGCAGATGTACGGTCGGGCGCCAGTGTGCACGTTGAGGTGGATGCGCAGATTGCTGTGCGAGTTGAACGCACGTCCGCACTCGGCGCACAGGAAGCCGCCTGCTTTGGATGCGTGCTGAGTTCGCTGGTGCTGCAGCAGTTGAGACGGCCGGGGAAAAGAGGCATTGCAGTGCATGCACGGGAGCTGCTGCAGGCCCTCCTGCTGAGAGTGGCCCTGCTGATGCCGCAGGAGCTCGGCGCAAGTGGGGAAGGTGCGCTGGCAGGACAGGCAAGGGAAGGAGGGGAGCGTACATGATGTGCAGGTGGTGAGCGGGCAGTGGTGGTGATGGAAGTGGTGGTGGGCAACATGTGCCTCTGGGTCCTTTTGTTGACGGAGAAGTTGGCTACAGGTTTGCAAGCCACGGTGGCAGCATAGACATGCAAAGGCCTGAACAGGCGGCACACTGGTGGACTCGGGATTTGCCTGAGGGATTGGGCTGTGTGTGCTAGTGCCTTTGTCTTCCTGTTGGGGGTGACCAGATGTGCTGCTGGGCTCTCTGTTTTCCTCTTCCAGAGAGAGACCCAAACCTAGACACAATCCCAGGCCGACAGAGGCATGGCTGGGCTCTTTGGCCTGCTGTTGCAGGGTGGATTGTAGGGGCGAAGGTGGTTGGATCTGTGTGGCCGGGCTGGTTCTTGGTTTCAGGGTCTGGATTGAGGAACTAGAAGTAGATGAGGAAAGAGGGCAGCCAGGACATGTGCAGGTACGATGCTGAACTACAAAAGAGGGAGATGAGAATGCACAAAATTATTATTATATAAATCAATTGAGTGACGAGTTAAAAAAAGAAGAAGAGGGAAACATGATAAACTAAATATGAAACTATTTCCTTGTGTGGAACCAGTTGTTATTCAGAACAATATGTACTGCACTGATTGGTTACTGGAAGTAGTTAGAGCTACATAAAGTGGTATTTTATACAAATAAATGAAGTATTTTATTATCTTTATTTATTACACCGCTCTCTGTAATATTTTATTCGGTTTTCTGTGTTATTACTGTCAAATGTTTCTGAATAATGACTGTTGTCCACAGAAACGCCGAATAACTGACTGCTAATCAATTTTTGGGAAACCAATGTGTCATGTCATATGAAACTTTTGGTTTCCCAAAAATGGATGAGCCTCATATCAGATAATCATGGTCATAACCATCATGTCTGGATTTATTTTCTGATAATGACCAGCTGACTTCTATTATCATTTTCATAATCAGCTCTCTCTAATAATATACTGTTAGTACAAATTATTGGATTGCATTTATGATGCCTCTGATCTTCATTGGAAATCTGTGAACTTTTGTTGCAATAATAATATATTAATTATTTTTAATATATATTAAATACATAATTACATTTATTATTTGCTGTATCTGTCCTGGTTGAATCACCAGGCAGTGATCTCATCATTTGGCCACAGCTTCGGAGGCCAGTAAATTCAATAAGTGCGTGCCTCTAAGTACCGGAATCAATCAATTCTGCATGTTTCGCAATCCTACTTCATGAGGTTAAATGGATTGCCATTTAATTATAACACAATCGTACTGAACAGTCTATTGTAATATTTACTCACCATGGTCTCTGGGCTCTTTTTCCTTTTCCTCAGAATGCACACCAAACCGGACGGCACTTTTCACCTGGCTCTGTCTGGATGAAGTAGACTGGGGAGGATGAGAGACTTTGGGCCAAACAGAACTCACTGTCTCCTCTGTACGTTGCTCTCTGAGTTGATGACCAGAGACTGAAGCACTTGCTGCCATAAGGTCACCAATAAAGTGATGCATATCCAGCCATGAGCATGCACCAGCCTAAGTAAAATAATATGAATAGTAAATAAATAATATTAGTTGTAAATACTTTAACTGCAGTATATTTCAATACATGATTACAATATATGAATAGGGCCTAAATCAGTGTGTCACATTGCTGCATATGCACAATTCATACTGGAAATTCATCCTACAAGCATAAGCATAACGGGGTCATAAAACAAATCGCATCATGAGAAAAGGACACCTTTAGGAACGCGTAACAAGATATGATACAAGCGTTAAGCGTACAACATCAAGCGATACATTGTACTTTATAACAAAACATTTTCATTGATCCGTATCGCTATTATGTAACGTTACGCCAATAAAATGCTTCCGTCTGCGTTTTTTCCCCATTAGTATTTCTCCAAGCCATGAAACACATCACACGCCCCTTTTAAGGCTACTTCCTCGTGTTTATTTTGGCATGTACTCACTGCGAGTCTGTCTTTGTCCATCTGTGGCGCGCCTTTACAAAGTCGAGTGTGCAACTGTATTAATATACATTTATATGACTAATAGCAGTTTTCTGTACTTAAGTGGACCGACAAACGTTGGTTAATCATAGTGGTCTCTTGACTCTACTACTGCCCCACTTTTTGTTACAGTCTAGAGCTGCTCGTAACGCCATTTTTCCATCGACGGCAGTGTATTTCCGGGATATGAATCATGTGATACATTCCTAATTTCTGTACTATACTCTGTTCCGTAGTCACAGCCTACTACTCTATACAAAAGATTCACAGAGTCTTATTTTGTTCTAATTTAGTTTATAAGGAGTATTTTAGCTAAGAAAACAATAGCCTGTATAATATATCTGTTATCGTTTCTAAAATAATTATAACGTAAGTTGTAAACATCTCTTTGTATAAACATCTCTATTATATAAGCTAGCAGTGCAATTCAGTATATTAAATGCTATAAAGATTTTGGTGTCTGTTACAGAGGTCTGACCACCATAGACTGTAAAGTGTCTGACAAGCTTTACAGATCTCACAGCGCATGCGTCCCAGCAGCCAAGAACAACTCTATTTTGGTCAGGTTGTCACACAGTTGCTTTTGATGATATCACACACCCTTTACTGTCAGAGTCACACTCACGAATAGTAAGAAAGTGACAGACTTGCCACCTCTTTCATCAGACATAGGCCGATATCTCTGATGTTATAGTTGCTACATTTTGTAATTAATGTTGTGACTTAGTCATTAACGGACAAATAATGTATCTTGAAAACTGTTGATTCCCTTATTTCAATGAACAGCCAAATCTCTTGTATGTCAAGAACTAGTGATGCAGAAGAGTGATGGTGACAGTGCCACTCTACTTTGTAACATTGTCCCTTCTGACTGAACCTCAACTGCATACCACTATGATAAGAAAAACGAAATAAAGAAGAACAATAAAGAGAATTATGGGGCCTTAACTGCTCTCTAAATATAGTCATAAAAGAAGTGCTGGCATGTGAATGGACATCAACACGACTATGATGCTCATGTTTATCTGCATATTCTATGATTTGTGTTTGATTTAAATATATTTTTATATGATCGATTTAAAACATTGATTTTAGAACATTATTCTTATTTTCAAATCAAATAGTTGTTATTCATAATCAACAGTGCAGTCATAGCATTCAGTGTCTTTATGACGTTTTTTTTTCTTGTAGATGATGTAATGAAATGTTGTTTATGCTACATTATGGTGCACCTAAATTTAACTAAATTATTTGAAGGCATGTATGTGTATAATATATTTGGTCGCTAGATGGGGCAATTTTCCATGAAGACAGAAGTTGTTGTTCACTCTCTTCACATCCCAGCAGACACTGCCTCAGTCTAAATACAGCCTTGTATTCCAGTCCTCTTTTAGAAAAAAAAAGGTCATTTAAAAAACTCAGCTGTAATAGCCACAACACCTTGGTGTTGTTTACTTAAAGGACCCATAGAGAGGCTATAAATCTTGCACTTAAAGTTCTACAGTTGTTTCACGCTGAGGTTAGTCAAGTTACACATAGGCTAGGAAGAAACTAATCAAGAGGGGCCTTGCTTGCAGCATTTGAAATTTGAACATCTCTCCAGATTTTTTAAGTACTTCATAATAAACTAAGTGTGCAAGTGTCCTAACAGGATGTTTATTTAAAGTGAATAAGTGTGCTTTTCTCATCATTGCACACTAAATAACTGTAAAGTGCACAGCAGTTGAGCTGCTTAAGCATTTAAAGTTGGAGGATGAGTGGGTGGAGGAGGAGTGAAAAAACAGAAGACCATTTGGCATTGTGGTGAGAATGGAGGAAATGGACATAATACTTAATTTCTGAGGCAAATAAGCAGATCAAAGTTGATGTGGTTGAAAAGGAAGTATAACAAAAATGGTGTAACAAAACTAACTTTACACAGATGAACTGTATTCTATGTTAAATTAATGTAATTAAATTAATATATTAAAGGGATAGTTCACCCACATTTTTTAATTAGCCCATGATTTACTCACCCTGAAGACATAGGTGTATATTCTTCTTAGACGAATACAATCTAAGTTATATTAAAAAAAATGTCCTGGCTCTTCCAAGATTTACAATGGCAATGAATGGGCATCAAAGTTCCTTCATCAATAATAAAAGTATTCCACAAAGGGGGTTAATAAAGGCTTTCTGAAATGATGCGTTCTTGTAAGAAAAAATATCCATATTAAAAGATTATCAACTAAAATAACTAGCTTTCTTGGATTTGTTTATTTAACTCTGATTGTCTTTGTTTGAAAGAAGAATGTCATATACACCTATGACTTGAGCGCGAGTAAATCATGGGCTAATTTTCATTTTTGGGTGAACCATCCCTAAAATTATATTTCTCAAATGCAACAGAAACTAAGAATCCACAACAATGATTTAAATACACCTCATCTAACATGATGCTGAAACATTTTCACATTTTGAATCAGTAATTTTGACTTTTGACTCAAAATAATCATGAAAACATTTTACTTGATATAATATTAAACACATGATTACATTTGATCACATGTAATATTAACCTAAACATTATGAGGTTGTATTAAAGGTGTTAGCAACTAGTTTTAGCTAGTCGGCTTCTTTAAATTTCTAAAAGATTTCTCCATTGCATATCGTCTCGCACATCCTATTTGCTACTGGCACACCTCCACTGTGTTTGACAGCTCGTCAACATGAGAGGGCGGAGCTACCCATGGGCGGGGGAAAAACAACGTGCTCTCTGTATACATAGTGGAACGTGCCGAAGTCAGTCAGTTAATAACAGGCAGTGAGTGACTCGAGGAGTTGACATTTATCAGAGGCTCCTCTGCGACTGACATCTATCATTTCACCTGGCGTGGGCGTCGAGAATTAAAGACAGCTAAAGGGATTCTGACATGCACTTTCAGAAATGTGAGTACGAAGACTTTTTTTATTAATATGTTTTATTTACATTATTTTTAGCTACAGCAGAAGGAACTGGATAATATACAATGAATGATTTTTGATTTGATGGAGTGAAATGGACAAAAAAGTAGCCTTGTCTAGCCGAGAAAGGTAGCCTATAACGTTACTAGCTACGTTAAAGTTTTCTGGTTCCTATTAGACCTAAACAATTCAACACTGCGTTAACCCAGTCATTTATTAAAATACACATAGGCTGTTAAATTCAACTATTTAACTGGTTTCATCGTATGGAATAGGCTACTAGCTACTTTTTCTCTTTCTGTAATGAGTTATTTTATGACGTAAGTTCAGTGATGTACGACCGTTTAAAAATAGACAACTAATTTGAATAAAGGATTCCCCAACAACACAGGAGATAGGCCATTTTACGACTTTTTTGGACAAACCCCTTGATAAATTAGGCTACTCCTCCCTTTTAGACTTTCATTTCCCGTTTTTAATTGGGTGTGGGTCTAATTTTTAAAGAAAAGAAAAGCTTGTGAAAAAAAATAATAAAACTATAAAGGAAGCATTTCTATTATACAAGTTACAAATGTCTCGTGGAATAAACCAAGTAAATAAACGGCAAACTAAGATTTTTTTTAATGAGTAAATATGTACTAGATACTGTAGTGAGATGTGCGGAATCCCCGCGAGGACACCCGCGCGCGTGACTCATTGGCCAGGGATTTCCGACTTTGAATGTACAAGATAGAGGTGCGAGGGTATCCCAGCCGCTGATGCCCACGCTTTCGGACATTTTAGACATGAAAATCAATGTTCTGTAGACGTGTGTAGACGTCGTGTGACCTTTAAAACTGTTGCGAACAGCAAAACCACTGTTATTTTCTATATAGCCAATAGCTCTGCTGGAGTAGCCTATGTGAATAGGTGTTTCACTACGTATGAGTAGCCCATTCCAAGCGTCTGTAAAACTTAGATATTAGGCTAACATTCCTAATTTCCTACATTAAACTCTTATAACTTAAACTATAGTTTAGAATTCTGTTGTTTCAACATACATCACTAGCCTACTTATATTTATGAACTTAAAAATAATTAAATCCCATGACTACTTTTTCCTAGTTTAATTTAAAATAAAATTAGAAAAAAAAGAAATACATGAAATATAGGCTAATGTTTTAAAAACAACTGTGTGATTGTGATATTCAACTCTCACTGTAAACCTATAGCCTACTGTAACTTTCCTATTTTGTTTGATATTTGTGGGTCCAATATATAAACGCCTTATTTTTCTCCCTCCTACACAATGTAAATATATCATAATTGAATTATTATGCTACACATTGAGACATGGTGATAACACCTTTGTGTATCTGTCAAGACATTTTTTTAAACTCCATTATTGTTTTAGCTCATTCAATATTTGACCAATGTCATTCTGGCGTTTTTCTTAAACTTCCAGAAACATAACAATTTAGTATCATTTTTCTTTTAGTGTTTGTTTCATTTGAGTCTGTATACATGCCACTTGTATGTCGAGCAGTACATTTTGACATAGTGAGCTTTAAAAAGTAACAGGCTGAGAAGTGGAGTAATTAAAGTGGAATGGAGAACAAAACACACAAAAAAGAAGACAGATAAGAAAAGGAATGATCCTCTCGAGGTTATGCCCAGTGGAATTTCCATGCTGATTAAATCAAAGCCACCTTCCTCTTCTGAATCCCCTTTGCCATAAGAATGACTTAATGTTTTGGTGAAACCAGTTATTTTTCCTGTAATTGGATATCTCACAGAAAGCAGTTCTTGTGTCTGAGCTATTTATAGATGAATCAACCGAAACACTATTATTAGGCTAAATAGGCAAAACTATTATATCTGATGATCATGGAGTTACATAATATATACTCTGACTAGCCCATAAAAGATAGTGAAGTAAGTTAGAAGTGTTTCTCTCACACTGCATTTTTTGGGACATAAATATCTGTGAGTGAAGCAGTAATTTGATTAATATTTAAACGAGATCCCCCTTGTTTATTCCTGGTGGCTAGATGAAGTATTGCAGCTCAACTGTGATATGCAGCCGATTTCGGCTCAGTGCTGCCACTGTTTGGTAAGCATCATCTGTTTACACACCTCTGACGGGCCTCTTCAGAGGACGTATACGTCAGATGCAGGAAGATGTGGTTTGCCACGAAGAGCGTAACGGAGAAAAGGAAATAGTTACAGAGAATGTTCTTGTGAGAACCCTCTC